AGAAGAAAAAGAAAGCACGAGTATCAAGACTACAAAGCTCAGTCTAATAGACAAATATCCATGCAGCCTATAAATAATAGATCTCTCAAGAAGAAAATCAAAAGGAAAGTTTAAGAGAATAGAAAAACAAAGCTTACAACGATAAATTTATCCTGAAAAGAAGAAGAGAAAAAGCTAAAAATAAAATACATCTAAGTTGGTGATCAAAGAATTTAAATAATATTTTCAAGCAAAAAAATAATAATAAATATTTTTTTTATAAAATTAAAATTAAATTTTAATAAAATAAAATTAGGTAAGTGGGTTGGTGGGCCAACCCGGCCCACCATGGGTTCAACTCGCATGAACCGGGTTTAAATGAGCCGGGTTGAAATCTGACCCGCATAAAAAAAATACAATTTTTTCATATCCAACTCGGCTCGAACCCATAATGGGCTGGGTTGGTCTGCGGGTTGTGACCCATTTTGACAACACTAATAGTGAGCATTCATTATCGAGATGTCTTTTCGAGTTAGAGATGAGTCAAATGCATAAAGGTTCATTCGGTTTTATGTTTCTATTTTTTTCTTTTTATTATTTCTAGTATGTGTTATTTCAATTTCATTATAGTTTTGAGAGCTGAGTGATGATCATTGATTCTTAAGTTTTGAAAATGAACTTTAAGGCCCTGTAATGGGCTTATTTTCACAGGATGTCTTCCTGAAATGTGATCAACCACTCTATGCATTGAATCTATATGAATCTATATGAATTTGACTCTAGTTTTTGTTCTAACCAATTCTCTTGGCTGATTCTTTGATTTTTCATATTTCTTTTGATTGTAATATCTCTGGTAGTTGATCTGCACATATGATAGTTTGATTTGGTATTGTTTTACATATGCATATAGAATTTAGTTGTTGATTTCAATTTTAGTTGAGAGTAATGGCATGATTATTCTTGATTACTTCTGTTTAGAGTATATGATTTGATGATTCACTTTAGGTTTTATGTTTTACATTATGATTCAGATTTGATGCTTAGCTTAAGAATATCTCTTGATTGTTAATGCATCTTTTTTAGACTTAGGTTTTGCTTTTGTTTTGTATTTTTGTTTCAAAGATTTTCTTTCCCTATTTTTTTATTAATTCATTTAGCACTTGAGTTCTGTTTAGATTGTAGCATGTATGTTTCTATTTTAGTTTTAGGTAGTTATAGTAATTACGTTGTATTTCTGTTTTGAGTAGTTTAGACTTTTATTTTCTTTTCTTTTATTCCATTTCAATTTCTTTCTTCTTTTAAACAGACTTTAGTTTAGATTTTTCTTGTCCTTTTTAGTTTCATTCATTGTAATTGTCCCCACCTAGTTTTATAGTAATAGTTCATAAATAATAAAAGATCTAATTATACATTCTAAAAGTTAACAAGTCGAGTCCTAGGATTGATATTTTGGTCAGCCCTTTACTACATTGGTGGGACCAAATTTGTTCTACTTTAGGCGACTAGAAGTCGTTTAACAGTAGATAAGATCAAACTCTTTCCTCATTTTTCCAAGTTCACTAAAGTCCATCCATGGGAAGTGAAAGGTAGCTTTCCTGAAGAATTTTATCATAACATGGCTCTGACCCTACTAAAAGCAAATGAATACGGAAATAAGCACATGAGAAAAGTACTTGTCATGCTAGATGTCATTGCACCCAAATTACCTCCGGTTGATGAAAGACCTCTAAAAATGGAGAAGATTAGGACTATTAAGGATACAAAACTAGCTCCCACAAAACCTTTGACAAATCCTAGAAGAATATGGGACAAAGACATCCACATTCACAACAACAAGTCAGAGGCTTATCTCTATTGAAAGTAAAACATATTCATCGCAATTGACAAGTTTTGAATTGATCATGCCTCTACAAGCCCCTTTTCATTCAAACATGAAAGTGATGAACTACAAATAAAAGGAGCATGTCTTCTACAAACCAATGCGGCCTTCTTAAGGGATCCATATGACATTGGGTACTGGCTTCTTCCCAGTCTGCCTCAAACATCACCATTTGACAAGTTGATAGTCAGATTGAAGAATGCTACACTTGATGTCATATGCAAAAATGTTGACATATTGACGAAGAGACACGTAAAAAAGAATAAGATGCTTGAATCAACTATCCATAGATCATCAAATGTAGAAGAAGTAGCCAATGAAAAAGACGTGCAAGAAGAAAATCAACCTGAATCAGCAGTCTCCAAAACATTCGCATCACAACCAATCATGTGGAAAAAGTGTTGACTATTGTCAAGACAGTTCTTGTCGAACAAGATGCAAAGGTTGAAGCAAAAATTGACGCTCTGTCATCCTAAATACAACTCCTTCTCCAACACATCACAACCCATCCTCCTCCAACTGTTCCCGAAAACCCTAAACCATGAGTCATAACCAATGCGTTCTTCCATCCAAAACTTTTGCAAAGAACACAATTAATTATGTGATTTACTATATCAATACGAATATTTGCCAAGTATATTTGATAATCTATTCATTTCATGATATATGATGATTGGACAAATTGTATGATTGCCTATCTTCATGCCCTACATGACTACGCTTGTGTACTACTAATTTTTTAACTGTGTGCATGATTGAGTACTTATTTCTTTTTAATTATGTTGTCTCTCCAATAAACCCTTTTTAATGATTTATCAAATAAGTGGGAGATAGGGTCATAACCTCAGTTTAGTATGTTAATTCTATGTTAATTCTAGGAATTATTGCATGACACTAAATGACAGCATGATATTGTTAGGATTAGATCTAAACCTCAGGTCAGTATGTTTCCATGATAAAGTTAGGGTAGCATAGAATCAGGGGAAGTTTCTCCAAATTCTTAGAGTTCATCTTAGGAGTTCATGTTTACATTTATGTAATCTGTTTTGTGTTTTAATAAAAGTTGTTGATTGTTACCTTATTTGTCTTATCTGTTGTTTATTTGTTATATAATCGTTTATTCGTTTATCATCTTTACCTCTATACGCAATAATGTTTTTCGATTCTTTCTACTAACAACATGCAAAAGATAAAAACAACAAAAGATGTAAAACACACAACAAACCAAAACACACAAGACTTAAAATTAAAATGTTGAACAAAGAATGATTACATCATTTAAATGTGTATTTGTTAAACATCAAAAAGGGGGAGATTGTTAAAGACAAAATCGTTGATACACCTAAACGCTCTCATGTTTTAAAGTTTAATCAAATAACATTAAAACAGGATAATAATCAGAAAATTACTCAGGGTGAAAACGCAAGACTTAGAGCCTAAATCCCAAACACACAAAACCTAAAACTAGAATCCTCAACATAAAAAAACTTAGCAAAACACTTAGGTTCTCAGGACATAGAAAAACATCTAGGTCAAAACACCCAGATGCATGGCTAAACTCCGTTGTGCATAAAGCGTCTAAGAGAGATTGAGTTAAACGCTCAATGCTTACAATACTTAGAATAGGTATTCAACTTCTCTCGAAAACAAAATAGGTCAAGACAAGACCTCTCTAAGAGAGTGACTAGAAGCATGACTATAAGGGTGAACTCTAAACATTATTCCTTATCTTTATTTTATTTCATTATGTGGACTTTCCCTAAGTTGACATATGTTGACTTGACTTTGGTTGACTTGTTAACTTAGTTGGCTTGACATAAGTTAACATGTTGACTATTATGTTAGTTTGCTTTGTAGGATGAGCTAGTGCCAACTTGGAGAAGTGTAACACTACTTGGAGTATAGGAGAGCATCATCCTTAGCCAAGCAAGTGAGGCACGTATTTGAACCTTGGGAGACAAGGTTGACCTTCTCTATCTAGAAGGTCAAAGACACACCACCTTGGAGGCTTGTAGACCAAGTTAGGGTTCTCTTCATTTCAAGACACCTTCCTTTTTGACCTAGTTTCTAGAACATTACTTTATCTTTTTTTCTTAAGTCATATGTGCTTGGAACTAATAGTTTTCAATTTATCATTTATCTTTCTTTGATTATGTATAAAATCCATGTTAACTATCTCAATTTCAATTTTCTTTTAGGATCATACAAATTCATGGAGTTAAACTTGTATTTTAGAGGGAAAAAAGAAGAAATTAAACACTTTTGAAGAAATTTACCATAACACTATTATAGTGCCAATTTTGAGAGCTCGAGCTATGAAGAAAACCTAGGCAAGAAGGTTTCCTCACTGACTTAAAGCATAGAATCCTTTATCTTGAAGTAACATTAGGTAGCCAACTTAGAAACTCAATGCTTAAGCCATAGAGAAAACCTAGTGAGAGAGGAAACCTCAAGATTAGAGCTATAGACCACCACTTGAGTTGTGTTGCCAAAATTTATAAATATCAGCACCTTTTATAGATTTCGAAAGAGAAGAATAGAAAAGAGACTTCAGTTGAAACACCTTTTAAGATACTTTTAGAGAAATTATAAAGAGTCTTCTCACCTATATATTTTGTAATTAATAGAAAATATTTAGAGGATTAGGAGATATATCTTCTTTATTGTTTATACTTCTTTCTATAATTTATGAGAAGGTAAATTTCCTTTGTGTGAGAGAAAAGATATAAAAGATTTAAACTCTTGTATTTGATAAAACCTTCTATTTATGAATAATTTCTTTTGGTAGAATAATTTCTTTTGGTTTGAAGTTTGTTAATTGATTTATATTTGTTGCTTGAACACTCATTTTAAGTACCTAAAAAACACTTTCAACTTCCACTTCCATAAAATTTTGTATTTCAAAAAGTAAAAATCTGAAATACAGTTTTTTATATTTGGATTTGTAAATTCAAATGTACAAAATTTACATTCCGGATAGCATAATCTAAAAACATTAGAATTTGAGAGCACAGAAAGAAATTTGTGGATGTGCAGGAAGAAATTGCCGTAGAAAGACCCCAAGAAAAAAGTTAGTTTTGGCAATGCCTCATTCTGGTAAATAACTTGTAAGTATAATCTATATAAATATAATACAGTAATATTAATAAGCAAACAACATTGCAAGATGCTTGCATTCTCCAAATCAGGATCAAAGAAAATTTCTACAAGTATAATGTAACGTTGAAATTTGAAACAACACATACATCTAAGACGCTTGCATTCACTAAGAAACTTATCCAATGTTTTCAAACACTATATACAAATTCACGAAATGCAGAAGGAAGGAAAGGAAGTTAACTATGATGTATTCTTGTGGACTTTGCATAATACGTTGAATTCAGATATAACGTTGACCCACAAGAAAAGTGAAGGTTCTTTTCTGAACAATGATTACTGAATCTAAGAGAAATTGAAATCACATTTTTAACCACTTTGGTTTAACAAGTTTTTTTTCAGCAGGTTTTCGTTGTTCAACAGGAGGAGGATGTGTTGCCACAGCAGGTTCAGGTTCTGACTGTACTAAAGGCTCAGATTGTTGGCCTTGATCATTAGCAGCATGCAGTTCCTTCAAAGACAAGATATCTTCTTGAAGGTAAGGACCAGTGCTACCTAAACACCCCATCAAATGAGAAAGGAAAAAAAATATAACAGCTGGTAATTATTTAATCCCATACAAGGTATTAAGAAACACTTTATCATAGCCTTTTCAGCAGTGCTTCTCAAATTAACTAGAAATACACGTCAATGGCATATGATGTGAACAAAATAAGTTAAGCTACTATCAATTTTATATTGCTCGATGCGGCGCTTGATTGCATATACTTGATGAAGTGACATTTCACATTTTAGGCATCAATATAAATGCTTAAACAGTACCGAAAGAGACTAAATATAAAATCTGAAACAGATCAATAACAAAATAAAATACACAAGAGTACAACTGCAAACTTGAAGAATTTGAACATTGAATGAGGTTCAAAAAACCTACAAATACGCCAAAAATATCTTCTTCAAAATTGATCTCACATGTGGAAAAACCATGGGATTTATATAGATACCAAGTCTATCAATTTTAGTATTATGACATGAAAATTTGGTCCTCCATAGATTAGTACTGATATAATAATCAGGTAACCCCTAAATTGATCCTTCATTGATTAGTGTCACGACGATAATTCTCCAAAGATTTTGTGAAGTGAGATAAAAACATGAAAGAATTGCTAAACATTTCCTCTTATGTTGCTAATTCAGTCTTCATTAGAAATATATTAGACATATATGCAGACATTTGAGATATTCAAAGAATTCATTTGGAAACAAAAGTTTCTGACACTAATATTCCAAGGATTTAAGGACTTACTCGGAATAACACGGTACTCAAAGGACTTTACAGCAATATAACACTGAAAAAAGGATTCTCATGACAGGATGAACTTACCTTTTGGGACATCGTATGAGAAGTAGACAATGGCACCAGGACAAAAGCCAGCATCATAAAAATTCTGAGACATGTCTTTCATAATCTTTTTAGGCGGAGTAGTATCTGCATCATTCAAAGTTAATATGATTTATTTCTCAAATTATGTCCAAAGCAACTTTTTACTGGTTAATTATTTATAATCAAGCGATGATTCATAGTAAGCTACGCTAAACTAATAGTAGAGTTAAGGGAATTTGAATTATGCCATAAAGGTCGGTACAAATTCTAAGCACCATATATCATTCAAAATTTAATCTCAAATAAATACTAATATGCCTACATATATAGAATGGCTGCTCTGGCAGCACAATAACTTTAGTCAGGACATCAATTAAACTCTGGACTGTTTCCGATGGGTGGAATGTAGTCTCCAATGTGTGATTATCTGGGAATCGAACTCTAATTATAGCCTGCAAAAAACCCCAAACAAACTTAAAAGATAAATTTATGTTTTACCAATCTGATTAATTCATAAAGCATTTATGAGCAGATAAAATATACCCCATATGGAACAGATTAAATCTTGTACACAAGTGAAATACTGTCTATACTTAGGTTTCTGATTGTTTCCAATTATTTTTGTAAATAGATAAATTCTAAACTTTTAATCCCTAAAACTAATCATATTGATTATCAATTGAAAATAAGACTGATTTATTATTCTCAATCATGAAAAATACATTATCATATCCTCTATTTGAAATAATCAAATTCTCCTAAAAAGGAAAATAGGAAAAATAGGAAAACAAAATAAAATAAAAGATTATATATCTATATCTTTTAATTAGGAAGATTCTAAAGATATTTTCTCTAATTACAACACTCCCCCTCAAGTTGGTAAATGAATATCAATCATTCCCAACTTGCCTACAAGATCTTGAAATCTACCCGGAGGAAGCCCTTTTGTAAAAATATTTGCTATTTGAAGTTCTGTAGGAACATGAGTTGTAATCACAAATCCTCTGTCAAGATTATCTTTGATGAAATGTCTGTAAATTTCAATGTGTTTGGTTCTGTCATGTTGTACTGGATTATGGGTTATGCTCATAGCAGACTTATTGTCACAATGTAGTTGCACCGGGTTCTCCACTTTGACTTTAAGATCATCCAAAATGATTTTCATCCAGAGTCCTTCACACATTCCTTGAGCAAGGGCTCGAAATTCAGCTTCTGCACTAGAACGGGATACTCTATCTTGCTTTTTGTTTCTCCATGTTACCAGACTATCTCCAAGAAATATACAATACCCAGAAGTAGATTTTTTGTCAGTAATAGAACCTGCATAGTCTGCATCAGTATATATCTTCATAGTCAATGTGTCTTCCCTTTTGGATAATAACCCCTTTCCTGGACTTGACTTCAAATATTGGAGAATTTTGTCAACTGCTTGCATGTGTCTCTCTCTTGGATCATGCATAAATTGGCTCACTACACTCACAACATAAGCAATGTCTGGTCTTGTGTGTGATAGATAAATCAATTTTCCTACCAATCTCTGATATTGGGCCTTCTCTATAGGAGCACTTTCTTCACTTCCAATTCTGTGATTCTGTTCTATAGGAACTGTTGAGGTTCTACATCCCAGCTTTCCTGTTTCTTTGAGGAGATCAAATACATATTTCCTTTGGGAGATGAAAATTCCGTTCTTGGAGTAGGCAACCTCTATTCCAAGAAAATATTTGAGTTTTCCTAGGTCTTTCATTTCAAAATGAGCTGCCAATTTATCTTTTAATGTCAACTTTTTTGTTTCATCATCTCCTGCAATAATCATATCATCCACATAGACAAGTAATAGAGTGATTTTACTTGTAAAAGAGTGCTTTATGAATAGAGTATGATCTCCTTGGCTTTGTCTGTATCCCAAGGAAACCATTGCTTTTGTAAATCTTCCAAACCATGCTCTAAGGGATTGCTTAAAACCATACAATGCTTTCTTCAGGAGGCATACCTTTTTTCTTTCATTTTTCACTTCAAAACCTGGGGGAATCTCCATGTACACTTCTTCATCTAGATTTCCATGAAGAAAGGCATTCTTCACATCTAGCTGGTGTAAGTCTCATCCAAAATGGGCAGCCAAAGAGAGAATAACTCGAACTGTATTCATCTTTGCCACTAGGGCAAATGTCTCCTCATAGTCAATCCCATATGTGTTTGGGTATATCCTTTTGCTACCAATCTAGCTTTATATCTTTCTATTGTCCCATCTGCCTTATGTTTCACTGTGAATATCCATCTACACCCTACTGCCTTCTTGTCTCTTGGCTTATCAACAATCTCCCAAGTTGAATTTCTTTCTAATGCATTCATCTCTTCTTTCATGGCTTGATTCCAATGTTTAATTTTCATGCCCTCCTGGATTGAGGTAGGAATTTTTGTGGCATCAATTGCAGCAACAAAACTTTTGTGCTTATCAGAGAGATTGTTAGTGCAAACTACTGAGAAATAAGATATTTAGCACATGATCTTCTTCCCTTTCTCAATCCAATGGGTAAATCCTCAGTAATA